CAAAACTTGCATCTGTTTCTGTGTTTCTTACCCGTCCTTGCCTCTCCTCGCCCAGGTAATGGGTCTGGTCTGGTAGGTTTTGTGTTTATCATCCCCTTGCCTTAAAAAAAAAAAAAGTTTCATGACATAATATTTGTACGTTTTCCGTTTGCTTTTTCTTCTGGGCTTTATAAAAATTGCGTGTGATCGTAGTCTGTTCATTTCATTGCCGCACAGCGATGTCTTCATCTTCCATCGCTCACGGGCGTTTTGATTGTGGGTTGTTTTTTATTTTTATTTTGTTTTGCTGTCAACAGTCGTGCCCTCGGAACATTTCTTGTTTCTTGACTCCGGTGCCCGAGAGCAAGAGCCTCTGTAGCACGGAGGGCAGATCGCGTTGCCAAAGTTTTAGGTAGTCGGGAGCGACATCGATCGAAATGCCGGAAATGAAATGAATCAAAAGCACGAAAAACGTTAGGGTTCTCCCTTCTGTTCTCGTGGGAGGTGCGTAGCGGTAAGGATTCGTGCCTATGTTTTGAGCCTGTGCCTGAGAAACCCGGATTTCTTGTTCACCTGCGTGTGATGGATCTTTTCCTTTGAAATCACATCGTGAGCCGTCTGGCAGTAGGCGTGACCTTTTTCAGTGTGAAAATCAGAGAGCCCTGGCCAGTGTGGCGCGGTTGGCGTGCCTGTCCCATACACCAGCGGGTGACGGGCTGATGTCTGGGCATATAGGGGAGGCCACCAATGGGTGTGTCATTTGCACGTGGATGTTTTTTCTCTCTCTCTCTCCCTGCCTCCCTCTCTAAAAAAAAAAAAAAAAAGTAGGAAAAACACACTTGATTGTATGTGACATCAATCACTCTGGCTGTGTTCCCCTCTCCCCGCTGTGTAATCTGGCAAATGACAGTCACACCTTGGACATGTTGTGAGTCTGGTTCCAGATCGCCTTCATAAAGCAAGTATCGCAAATAGCCCTGGCCCGTGTGGCTCAGTGGGTAGAGCGTCCGCCTTGGGGGCACATGCCCTGGTTGAGGGCTCGATGGTGCAGGAGGCCGCTGATCAATGATTCTCTCTCATCATGGATGTTTCTATCTCTCTCTCTCTCCCTCTCCCTTCCTCTCTGAAATCAATAAAATATATATATATTTTTTTTATTTTTTATTTTTTTAAAGATAATGAAAACAAGCCACGAGCTGTCAGGAAATCTCTGCAAATCATTAAAAAAAAAAAAAGGATCGCAAAGAATCTTCTTTTGCTGGTGGAGGGTCTTGTCTTCGGTTTAAAAAAAAAAAGGCAACTTCTGTGAAGCACAGGAAAGCGGAGTGCCATGAAACGGGATGTGCCTGCCCTCTGGTACCTCCCGCGCCCCAGCAGGCTCGGGTGAAAACAGCCTGTATGGGTTGATCCTTCGAGGGTCACAGCCGGGGGTTAAGGGGAGCCCCTGGCAGGTGGCAGGGCCTGCAGGAAAGGTTAGGGTGTCCTTTGGGGGAAGATCTGCGGGGGATATTCACCGGGAGCTGTTTGCTCACCACTCACTTAAGTACGTGTCCCTTCCTGGGCCGAGATTTGGGAGCGCCCAAGGTGAGCCTCTGTTTGTTTATCCTGCTCGCTGCAGGGACATGACAAATGAGGGAGCAGCATTCATTTCCTGAAAAAGGGGTGTGTGTGTGTGTGTGTAATAGGAGTTTATGTATAGCTTTGAATAACCTGTTTTTATTTAAAGGCATAGGCATAGAGATGATTTGAATTTATTATTGTTTTTTTATAGTATATGTCAGTGATGGCCAACCTATGACACGCGTGTCAGAGGTGACACGCGAACTCATTTTTTTGGTTGATTTTTCTTTGTTAAATGGCATTTAAATATATAAATTAAGTATCAAAAGTATAAGTCTTTGTTTTACTATGGTTGCAAAGATCAAAAAATGTCTATATGTGACACGGCACCAGAGTTAAGTTAGGGTTTTTCAAAATGCTGACACGCCGAGCTCAAAAGGTTCGCCATCGCTGGTATATGTAGTTTGCAGACAGATAATCAGGATGCTTTATTTTGGAAGGGCTGTTTTGTTCTGTCTTTTTAAAACTATATATGCTTTTTATTGATTTCAGAGAGGAAGGGGAAGGGGGAGAGAGAGAAACATCCATGATGAGAGAGATTCCTGGATCGGCTGCCTCTGGCACCCCCCCCTGCTGGGGATGGAGCTGGCAACCCGGGCCTGTGCCCTGACCGGGAATCGAACCCTGACCTCCTGGTTCCTAAGTCGATGCTCAACCACTGAGCCTCACCAGCTGGGCTTTGTTCTGTTTTTTAAAAACCTCATTTTTGGATTTGATTATAAGGGCAACGTGTTTTGGGCTTAAAAAAAAAACCACTTGAAGAAGGAATAGAAAGTTAGAGTAAGTAACCATTGTTGATGTTTGGCCGGTACACCCCCAGCCTTTCTGTTTGTGAGCATTCGCATCTCTAAACAAGTTGAATTCAACACAGGATTAGCCTGCCTCCCCCTTCAAACCTTACCCCAAAGGCGATCCGTCTCCATAGACAGTAGAATGGAAGCTTTTCACTGACTGTAGACCCTCCATTTCTACAGTGGCCTCCCAGCGGCTGGTGGTGCCAGCGTGTTGTAGGTGTTCAGAAGGTTTGATGAATGAATACGCTTTCTTGTTAACTTGGAATCTTACTGTGTAATCATCAGAGAATGTCACCTGTTTGGTGCTTTTCAAAATTGTGTTAGTGACTATAACGTCTAAAATTTTTCTATGACCAGGAAAGCTTTTCTTTTGACAGCTAGTGATCCACGCATTTATCTTTTCACCTTTTCCTCGCTGAGGCTGCTAAGGAGAGAGAAGGGGACTTACAGCTGCCAGTCTGTCTCCTATCACTGTTCTGTGTCGAGCAGCCGACGTGGGTATGTGACACGGCGCGTGAACATACTTGAGGATTATGGATGCTTTTGTCCTTTGCTATCCTGTGGTCGCAGCATTGTGATCCCTGTTCCTTTTAATTTATTTTTGATTTTTTTACTAGAGGGCCAGTGCACGATTCCTGCACTGGTGGGGGGCGTGGCCTGCAGGGATCGGCCTGCTGTGGGAGCATCGCGCATCTCAGTCAGCTGAGTGGCTGTGGACTGTGGACCTATCCTCTGAGCCGCTGTGGGAGCGCACTGACCACCAGGGGGCAGCTCCTGCATTGGGCATCTGCCCTCTGGTGGCTAGTATGCATCATAGCGACCGGTTGACCAGTCCTTCTGGTTGTTCCACTGTTTGGTCACTGGGCTTTTATATATATAGGTATTTTATTGATTTTTTACAGAGAGGAAGGGAGAGGGATGAGAGTTAGAAACATTGATGGGAGAGAAACATCGATCAGCTGCCTCCTACACGCCCCCTACTGGGGATGTGCCTGCAACCAAGGCACTCGCCCTTGACCGGAATCGAACCCGGGACCCTTCAGTCCTCAGGCCGGCGCTCTATCCACTGAGCCACACTGGTTAGGGTTCCCTGTTCCTTTTTAATTCGCATCTCTTGTTCGCCCGCTGGGCTTAAAGCGATTCGCTGTCTCTGAGAAAGATGCGTCTTCTTTCAGCTGGTTTTTGCTTTCTTATCCATTTGTTTCCTCTGTGCGTCGTATTCTGCTGAATGGCCTGTCACCACCTCCCCTTCCTGCCATACTCACTCTGCTTTCTCCCCTTCATGTCTTAGAAGATGCACATCAGGGACTGCACGCCCAGGCACAGACCTCGCTTTCGTAGGCAATGTGTATTTGTCAGGGAAATATATTTGTTTACTTATTATTATTTTAACAATATTTTTATTGATTTCAGAGAGGAAGGAAGAGGGAGAGAGAGAGAAGAAACATCCATGATGAGAGAGAATCACGGATCAGCTGCCTCCTGCACGCCCCCCACTGGGGATCGGGCCCAAGCCCAGGCATGTGCCCTGGAGGGGAACCGAACCCGGGACCCTTCAGTCCTCAGGCCGAGGCTCTACCCACTGAGCCACACCAGCGAGGGCCAGGGAAATATTTTTAAAAATCACTTGTTTTCTCCATTAGCTGGTGGTTTTCAGACTTTCTCCTGAGTGAGCCCAGCCATGTTTTGCTCGTGTCAGAGGGGTCCTTTCAGCCATGTCCCCCGCCTGTGGGGCCCAGGGATGACGCGAAGGATTCACTTCTGCTGTAGGAAGACGAGTGTGAGCTGTTCTCATCCTGTGAAATTCTAAAGCCGGCTCCAGTCTGCTCTCTCTGTACCAAAGGCTGTTCCTCGTAGACTAGAGACCGAGCCTTGATAGGGACTTTCTAATCAAAAGGGAATCGAGAACAAGTTGTTCGTCAGCTTGTTCTCCTAAGTTGTTTGCAGTTGATGTCAACCTCCGAGCAGCTCCCACAGGGAGACACAGTCAGTCCTTTGACTCGGTGATGTTGGGGAAGTGATACTGTCACGTCCAGTCGGGGAGTCCGAGACCTCGCAGACACCGTGTTCCTGTGAGGCAATATTGTTGTTAAATAATCGCGGGCGTGCTGTCACTGTCCTCCCTTTATTTCTGCTGTTTCCTTCTGCTGCGGATTTAGAAGGCGAACACAATACCTTTATTTTTAACCTGTGAGCCGCCTTAGGATGGTATTTATCACCTTGAACTTCTTTCAAGGAGATCCCGGAGGACTCCGAGCAGTCTGGAATAGCCACGTCCACCTCTCTGCTCTTCTGGCTCTAGATCGAGAGTGATCTCGGTGTTATACTCGGCCCGGTGCACGAAATTCACGCACAGGTAGGGTCCCTAGGCCTGGCCGGCAATCAGGGCCGATCGGGCCTTCCTTCCCCACCTGCCGGCTGCCGGCTGGGCCCCCTTCCCCGCTGCTGGCCCGGGCCTTCCTTCGTCCCATGCTGCCCTTTGGTGGTGAGCGCACCTCATAGCGAGTGGTCGAACTCCCGAGGGGATACTTTGCATATTAGCCTTTTATATATATAGATTGCGATGCAGGCCTGTTTTATACAAATAATTAACTTTGCAGTGAGATACCGTGTTGGGGCAAAGGTTTCTTTGGTTCCCATCACCGTCTACTGGTTTTATGCTTGCCAGATTTTAAGACTTAAGCATTTGCCGTGTCTTTTTCTATAACCCTGCGGGATCGGGGCGTCTGGAGCCTGCTCTCCCCAGTCCCGGCTGTAACTCAGTTTGTCTACTGTGTCTGCTGTTGGCGCCTGTGCCTCTTCTGCTTCCCGTGTTCCTCAGCGCGTGTCCGTCCGTCCCACCGTGGAGGACAGCCTGGACCTGACTCCTGAAGTGCCGGGCATTCAGAGCCGAGAGTCCGTGCAGAGGATCTTGGGAGGAGACCTGTGAACGGCCTTTCAGTCTGTCCACTTCAGAGGCAGAATGGCGCCTGCAGCTGTTGGGCTTCTGCAGGGAATCGCTCCATAGTCATGTCTCGTCGCAATTATGTGCGTTTCCCTTTCTCACAAAGGCGTCTCTTTTTATCCAAAACCAGCCCCTAGGCTTTGTGTTCTAGACGTGGATTTTCTTGGAGGAAAAATGCTCGCAGGGTTTGAACTTTGAAAACTGTAAACTTATATTAAAAATTCTTTATATAAACTTAACGTATATTTGAAGAAGAGCCACTTTAATTTGCTTTCAGTTTGAATTTGTTTTTATAACTCAGTCAGATTTTTTGGTAAAGGTGAAAAATCGACTTTATTGAATGAGGTGAATGCTCAGTCAGATAATGATTCATGTCGGAGTCATATTTGATGGGCCAACCTGTTAAAACATAAGCAGTTCTAACAAAATAAACATATAGTAACAGGTAGCAAATTTAGTAACGCTTAAAGTGATACGAGGTCTTTTTTTGTTTGTTTAAAAATCAGAGTGTCCATGTGCTCTCTTTAGAAACTATAGTAAAAATAACATTTACTATGATTTAGTAGTTTAAGGGGCGTATACCCTTCAGCTGCGTCTTAGGGCGCCCATGCCGCCTTAAAGCACAAAATAGTGTCCGCCCTTATTTTAAAAAACAACATAAATAAACATCCTCAGCTGCCTACCCGCACGGGGCATGAGGACGAGTTGCCTTTTCCTGTTCTGGACGCCCACCTGCTGTGCCTCAGTGTGAACCCGGAAAACACACATCGTCACACCTGTACGTGTGCGAATAGGGAAGTGACATTTCTGCCCGACACTTTTCAGTTTTAAGTGGAAATACCGATTTTTGGTGTCGCTGCCGAGTTCGCTCTCGTTACACCGAGGACGTACGTATCAGAATGTGATCGGCGGCGTAGACATCCGTGCGTTGGGGTCGGTATTTTAAGTGCTGTGTGTTCTCACCTAAGGTACAGTCGTCTCCCGGAGTCTTGGAGGAAACGCTGTTTTGTTCCTCTCTGCGCAGCGTGGCCGTGGATTTCTGTGGCCGTGGATTTCTGTGGCCGCTCTAAAATGTAAACTATTCAGGCAAAATGTCAACTCCCTGAAAAGGGGGTCTTCTCGGCTCTGAAAAATACCAAATGCTAAAAGCCTCGTGTTCTAAGCAGTTGGTCACCGAACTACAAACTCACGCTGCTTCTGTGAGGTTTTCACGGCTGTTCGTTCATTTGTTTTTACGCAGACAAAAGAGTCAGCAAATAGCAGAGGAGGGGGCAGCGGGAACATTCCGTTCTGTTCCTTTAAGAAACCAGCTTAGCCTGGGGTTTAGTGGGTGTAACCTACCCTGCTAGCCAGGAAAAGTTCTTTAGGATGATGGGTAGTGGCCGTGTCCAATCACAGGCGCCGGTTTCGCCAGCGGGGCGGGGACTTGGCGCCTCGGCCACTGGAATGGGCGGGGGCGGGGCTTGGCGTGCAGGTTTGGTTGGCCCGGGCACAGCTTCAGTGAAGTTAATCTGAGGTGAAGCAAACAACATTGTGGAGGTTTTGTTGGTAGGATTTTTGTTCTCATCTTCTCCTGACCCTTCCTCCTGCGCTCTGATCGCTTCCGCTCTGTGTCCGCCCGGTTCTGTCCTGGTCGCCGTTTCTGATGCCAACAACGTGAGGAGTAGGCAGGGAGCAGAACAAAAGGGCTGTTTGGGCAGGAAATCGGTGCTGAGAGATCAAACTCGACTTTCTTTTACCGTGATTTTCAGGTCCGAATCTGAGTGTCATTTAAAAAAAATGTCCGGGTCAGATCCGCTCCAGCAACCGCTCCGCTCGGGGCTGGCCTGCGGGGCCACCTACCTGCCAGGTTCTGCAGCCGACGGCGCGGGGGGCGACCTGAGGTCCTTTTCCTGGAACTCGAGGTGGGAAGTGGCTGGAAGACGTGGGAAATGTGTGTGTGAAAAGCTGAAATGCCCGTTAATTTCCCCCCTGCGCACCCCCCTGCCTTTTAACTTCAGTTTATTCTAAATTTAGCAATATGTTAGCATTTCTAATATGCTTATCCTTTTAGCTTTCCTTTAAGAAATTATTGATTTATCGTATACGGACAAGGTGAAACTGCTTTCTCCTTCAAACTTTATTTCCAAGGCGTGGGTGATTGATGAACACGCTTTGTAACAGGGAATGAATCCCATGTAGGCGCCCAGAACTTTCTTCCTAAAGGATCTGTGAGTCTGTTGACAGTTCCCACCGAGGAAATCATTGTGTTATTGCAGGGCCAGAAGGTTTCTTTAGATGCTGTTTTCTTCACAGTGTTGTTCTTTGATTTCATAGAAATTAAGGTATAAAAGTTGGAGTAATCAACCCAAGTGCTAGCTAAGCATTTCAGCCAGTATAATGCTTCTATTTGCTAAACCGCTTCTGCACATCACACAGTGGTTTTAAATTAATGCTTTTCTACTCTATTGCTTAAGTAATGCAGCAGTAATAATAATAATAATTTTTTAAAAATTAAGAAAAGTCATTCACACACCCACAAGATCTGTGTGGTGGTCTTATCTTTTTTATCTTCCCTTCTATGTCCTACCATGTTCTTGTATTTTTCCCACAACTGTAAAGAAGTGCAGTGTTTTTTTTTACTACACTGTATCATCTGATGTTCAACTAGTTTTAATTTCTGTTGCTGTATAATTTTTTTTGTTAGTGGGACCTTACTTTAGGCTTTTGCCTGTGTTATATTTAGATCGTTCCTAATGTTTCACCATTTAAAATGGCATTGCGTTGAACAGACTTCTATGTGGAAATTTAAAAAACATTTCCCTTTTCTTTGAATGGTTCATTTGCTTTGGGAAAATCGCCCGGAGTGGGCTTACCTAGATCAGAGGATGCGAACACTTCATTGGCCAAATTGCTTTTCAAAAAGGATGTTCCAGCTTCTATTGCCCCCAGCGGGCAGTGCTTCCAGATCTCTTTAACGTGGCCCTGGAATGTTCTGGTAACGTGTGCCTCTCCCGCCCTCGGACTTGTTCATCGTTTTGCCTAAACCAACAGCCTAGTTTAAATTCTCTTTTCCAGGATGTAGATGGATCTAAACCCATTTTCTGGACATTAAAATCACCTCAAGGACATGGGGAAATTTTTAAGTGAGCAATTATATCTTTGGGTATTTTACTCATTACATCTATTGCTTTCTATCCATGAAGCCCTTAATACAGTGGTTCTCAACCTTCCTAACGCCGCGACCCCTTAATACAGTTCCTCATGTTGTGGTGACCCCCAATTTCATTGTTACAAATTGAACATAATGAAAGCATAGTGATTCATCACAGAAACAATACGTAATTATAGATGTGTTTTCCGATGGTCTTAGGCGACCCCTGTGAAAGGGTCGTTCGATCCCCAAAGGGGTCGCGACCCACAGGTTGAGAACCGCTGGCTTAATATTTCACACGGGCCCTGTGGTTCAGGCCTGCTTTCCTGGGCACCTGCTGCTGGTACGCACAGGCCAGAGGAAATACCTTCTGAAATGACACATCTCAGGATCAGTGCAGGAGAGGGGGCTGGGGCAGCGCCCGGCGACGTCCCTCTGCCCGTCCCTGAACAGACAGGAGCACCTGTGTCACTGTTGGCGCAGTTCTGAGTTTTTAAAATGCAGCGTAGATGCAGAACGTGTCCGTACAGATGTAGGACTGAAAGCGGTGTGTCAGCACCTTCCTCGGATTTCACAGGCTGTCAGTTAAAGGGGAGAGGGCTGCATCCCCGAGGTGGCCCCCGCATGCCGTCTGTCCGTCTGTCCGTCTTTAAGAGCCTGCTTTGTTGGCAGTCACTGCTGATCACGTGGACTCTCGCCAGAGTCTGTGAACTGGAATAGCTGCACCTGCTCACGTTATGAAACTTGTTAACTGTTGTTCCAGAATAAACTTGCGAAGTTGTTCTAAAGCAAAAACCGAGACAATTCAGTCCTAATGCCGTTTTTAAACGGGAGGCGGTGGGAGGTCCTGGGTCCAGCGCTGACTCATTGATGCAGCCGGGGGCTGAGCCGGTGTGACCTTGCGTTTGTCTCGCTCATGTTGAAACTTAAATAACTTATCTGTAAATTTTTACTTCACTTTACTGATAACTTAGTGTATCCAACTTTCCGAGCCAATGTTGGTTATTGTGTTTGTTTCAGGGGAAGGCTTTTTGCGTGGTTTTGTTTGTTTTAATGTCTATTTTGTTAGACCTGAAAAGTTCAATTTTCCAGACACTGGTTTTCTTATTTGGAAAAGAAAAGAAAAACCTAAAACTAACCACTTTTAATTAGTGACAGAATTCTTCTGAAATACATCTTCTAGGCATTTGAATTTCCTAGAGAAGCCAGCATTTAGACAAATAAATACTTTATTCATGAATAGACCGATTGAGTTTCACTTGCATATTTAAAAATTTGTGTTGCTGCTTAAATATTTATGTCATGAATATTAACTTTGTCCTGCATTTGAGGAAATGTCTTTAATTTTCTTCTTAACCCATTAATTTTATTGCCGCCAGGTAGAGATGAAGATACGGTAAATATAACACTTTAGGGAAAGTCATTTCGGGTTTGGCTGGAGGTTCCTGTTAATGGGCTCCCTCCTCTCCTAGTCCCCTGGGGGCAGGAGAACTTGGAGGAAGGCGTGTCTTTCATCCTTTTCCGGTCGTTTCTCTCCTGTCCTGTCTCTGGTTGGCCTCACCCGGGTATCTCGTTCTGCCTTTTAGTAAGAAGTTTGCTTCAGAGGCAGAAACCCGTTTCCTAGCGGGAGAAGTGAACTGTTGAAATGACGTGACGTTGGGGCAAGATGAGACGAGTGGCGGCTCTACCTCATTCTTGTAGAATCGAGAGAACCTGCGCTTTATTTTTTCTAATAGCAGGAGGAGTGATTTGCATGGGCAGTAAGTCGGTAAAACGTACCCTGGGAGCAGTGACAGGGTCTGTCCTCCATCCCAGGGGACGCGACCGTCGGCCGTGTGTGTCCTGAATGGCTTCTCTGTGAAAGTCGGCGAATGTGTGAGGAGGGGACTCTTTGTTGATAACTTTTTCCTTCTTGAGACTCTCCCACTCGTGTACTAGCGCTGCCTGGGCCCTCCTGCTGGAGCCGTCCGTCCTGAGTCCGGGAATTGCACAGGGTGCTGACCTGCCCCGTTCCCACCGGCTTCTCGGGTAACCTCCAGTCCCTTTGTGCGTCTGCGTTGTTCCGAGATCTGCATCTTAAATCCAGGACTTTTATTTGCGCTTGAGTCCCATAGCCATCCCTTCCTCCAGCCCTGGACCTCAGCAAGGCTAAACCCACCTGCTCATGTTGTCCTCCCAGCAGCTCCCTGGGACCCTTTCCCTCCCGGCACAGCCGGTGGGTGGCAGGCAGGGAAGTCTCCTCCTGCACCCAGGGAGCCCCAGCTTCCTGTCAGGTTTACGTCCACAGCATCGCTGGACTCCACAGGCTGTTCCTCCATCTCGGCCCCAGGCCCCGCTGGCTCCTCACTCGATGACTGGCCTGCCTGCTGGCTGATGGTCGCCTCCAGCTCTGGCTCTGCACCCCCCTCTGCACCGTGCGGCTCGCCGGCCTGATTCCTTGTTGCCCTTGGAGCGTTCTTGCCTACCTGGGGTGCGAGACCACACCAGCCAGTTCTGCGCTGAACATTCCCGCCTGCAGCCCCTAAACACTTTGAACAAGTTCCGGGTGTTCCCTTCATGTAACCAGTGAGGCCCTTTAGGAAGGCTGCCTGTGGGCCCACGGTCGCCTTCGCTGACGGTGGCTCCACACTTGGACCTGACCTTGGCCGAAGCCCTTCCGTGCCTCCCAGGCCGGCCCTCTGCGTCGCCACCTTCCCCCCTCGGCTCCACTTCACTGGGTCTTCCTTCGAGGGAGACTCCACCGTTTGGCCTTCATCTAAAAGTGCTTGAAGGAAAACATTTTTTAAAGCAGTTCTGACAATTTTTTGGAACATCCCAAGCAAGATAGACACTTTAAAATGTGCAGAATATCTCTATGTATGAAAGCCCAGCGACCGGAACGACCAGTGGCTGTGACGTGCACTGCGGCAGCCAACCAGCCTGATCCGGTCCCAATCGCTCCCGATCGGCCCCCAACACCCCAATCGTGTGGGGCCGGCCAACCAACCGCCCGCAGCCCCTCCCCCCGCCAGCCCTGCCCGATGGGCCTCCATTGGGGCAGGCCGGCCGGACCCCACCTGTGCACGAATTCATGCACCGGGCCTCTAGTGAAAAGATAAAAGAATGAGACATAGGGAACATAAAGGTAGTTACCATGTGTGGTAAGTTTTGAGTTTCAAAGCTGTTGAATTCCTCACGTTTAATAAAAGCTGGAGGCCAGGCTGTGAGAGGAGGGTGAGGTCAGGTGTGACAGGCTTTACCTGAGCCATGAGACCTGCTGACCTCCTCAGGCATCAGGGAGCCCGACCTGGGGCCACTTTTGCCTCCAGGTGTGTGAAGCGTCCACCTGTGAGCACATGTCAAGCTGCTGGTCACTTAAGGTAGGAAAACAGGCTACACATTTTCCACATCAAATATCACATCATCAGAACAGTGAGATGCTGCAGCTAATCTCACCTAGAAAACAGTTGAGGTAAACGTAGAAATAGTTGATTTAGAATCACTTTTTATTTCAAATACTATATTTCTTTCCTCTTTATTTCTCTTCATTATTCCCCACTAGCATATTTTAAGGCAAAAGCACCTCCATTGGGCTTAAACATCCTTTTTCATCTGTAGTTTTGAAAGCATCTTGGTAGTAAGAGAAAAAGATCAAGTGGATAGAACTTTTGAAAATATAGATGAATGTTGTTTTCTTTGAAAGGGTTGAATTCTGTAGTCCAGAGTTGATGCAGTTGTTAACTTTTAATAAAAATGCATGATTGCTCATTATAAAAGCAGAAGTCTTGGGGTTTGGGGTTTGTTTGTTTTTTTAACCATTACGGTATTTTAGAGGCAGAAAATGCCATTCTCCTCAATTTTTTTTAAAATATCTTTTTATTGATTTTAGAGAGGAAGAGAGAAGGAACAAGAGATAGAAACATCAATGATGAGAGAGAATCATTGATCGGCTGCCTCCTGAATGGTCAGGGATCAAGCCCGGGAATTGAACCGTGACATCCTGGTTCATAGTTCAACACTCAACCACTGAGCCACCATGGCTGGGCTCAAATTTTTAATTTGGCATATATCACTATCCAAAATAATTGCTGCTTTTTAGAATAATAAAAATGGAAAGTGACAGTTCATTTAATTGGTTTTAAACATTATAATATTTAATAATAATAAAATAATATATCATTTGAAAAGACTATTAATTAGCTTTCATAAACAGAATACAAAATAATTTCTCTTAAATTTCTAGGCAGTTGCATAAAACATATAATGTATCTTTTCTCAATGGATTTCAAATCTTGGTAGCTACTCACTTTTTGTCCCCAAATATGAGTGGCACCTCTCTCTATTAACACTTCCCTTATTGTGGTTGTCATCTCTAAATGCTGAAAAGGTAAAGTCACTTGTTCCCTACCACCTGCTATAGTTAGAACTGACCATGTTTTCTTACCTCTCGCCAACAAAAAGCACTTGCAAAAATCTTAAATAGTGGTTCTCCAGAGTGTATTATAAGAAACCTTTGGGGTTTTTTTTTGAATTACAGCTTTTGACCTAATTTTAATTGACCTGTTACTCTACAGTTATCAACTTTGCAGTAATTTGAAACCATCTTTCTTTCAGCTGTAAATACGTACTTACCAGAGGCCCAGCACACGAAATCGTACGTGGGTAGGGTCCCTAGGCCTAGCCTGCGGTCAGGGCCATCTTCCGCCCGCTCGCCATCCTACCATCGGAGCCTGCGGGTGTGTTGGGGGGTCAGGGACCTAGAGGTGGTCAGTGCACCTCATAGTGACTGGTCGAGCAGTCGTTCTGGTCGCTACGCTGTTATGGTCACTGGACTTTTATTACGAAGGATTGTGTTCTGTACTAACGTACTATTTTCCAGTAGGTGACTAAGGTAGTGGTTCTCGAACGTGAACCTGAAACTCCCGTAGGAGCTGGTTGGAGCGTGCTAATCCTTGGGCTCGGGCTCCAGAAATGGAGTCAGTCGGTATGGAGTGGGACACAGAGGTGTGCGTATTTCTGATGCTGTTAATCCGTGTATTTGAGAAACACCGGTGTAAAGGTTATAGAGGGAAATCCACGTTTAGTGATCATTTCAGGAAAAGTTGGCTTTTTCAACTTGCTTAGCTCCTGAAAGTGTGACTCAGAGTCCCTTGGGTCTTTGGTTCTGGCTGACATGAAGCCAGCTCGGTGGGACTTCAGCCTCCGAGCCGTAAATACATTGAGGCAGCGTTGGATCCAGTTGGCCCTCACCCAGCGGATTTAGGGTCAATCAATAAGGAGAACAATAAATAAATAGAGCACATTGTCGATGAAGTGGAAACAATTTCCCCCCCGAATGCTCAGTGGCTTCAGAGAGTATGGTGCTTAGTAATTTATTCTGTTTTATAAGGACACATAGAGATAGAAGAGAAGAGCCTGTGGGGAATGGCTGACGTCGGCCTGCCAGACAGTCCACCCGGTACCGCTGACACAGGAGCCTGCAGTTACCAAGGTGGTCTCTGTCCATATAATGCTGGCACCCGATCAGCGCAGGTTCCGGTGTGGACTCCTGAGTACTTTCAGAGCTGATGCGCTTCTTCTTTTCCTAATTAAGGCAGACTTGAAATTTGAAAATTTGTCAAATTACTAGTTTTTTTCAGTATTAGAAGTAATAAAAATATGCGTGTAGGGTATTTTAATGGTGTGAAAAAGAGACTCCTTCAATTGTGCTTTACATATATACTAGAGGCCTGGTGCACGAAATTTGTGCACGGGTCAGAGGGTGTCCCTCAGCCCAGCCTGCACCCTCTCCAATCCGGGACCGCTGGCTCCTAACCGCTTGCCTGCCTGCCTGATCGCCCCTAACCCCTCTGCCTGCCGGCCTGATCACCCTTAAGCGTCTCTGCCTCGGCCCCTGCCACCATGGCTTTGTCTGGAAGGAGGACCGGAAGATGTCCGGTCCATCTGGTCTAATTAGCATATTACCCTTTTATTAGTATAGATATAGATATAGATATAGATATGCTTTTAAAAACGACCTATGGGTGCCATTAAATTCTCAAAGAGAATATAGTACAAATCAGAAAGTCTTAAAAACAGACTTGTCATTGGGCATATTATTTTGAGATTGTCATAGATTAAATGGCCTGGAAGGAGGGAAGGAGTTCATTGACACTGGACTCGTACGCTCTACACTGTTCAAGCATCCCCTGATTGACCCCACAGATTAAAGGTGGACAAGTTTGTTGGTTAGATTTTTACTTGGGTGATTGGATTTCCTATAGTTGATATATTGGGGGTTCAGAGTTTCGTTTTGTTTTTAATGTTTTTATTGATTTTTAGAGAGAGAGGAAGGGACAAGGATAGATATATAGAGAGGGGACCGTCACCTATCGCCCCCTGCTGGGGATGGAATCCGCAACCCAGGCATGTTCACTGGTGGGCAGACAGGTGTCCTTTTGGGTCCTGGGTCAATGCCCAACCCCCGAGCCACACCTGAGCCCCCCCAGCGGGACCAGCCTTTGTTTCTGTCATGTGGATAAATGGAGGTCAGATGTGAATTCATTATATAAGCATTTGAGAGCCTAGAACTCTGTCAACATAGAGAACCTGTTCCATGCAGGGTGTGCCAGGTACTGGCTGGAAATGCAGTCTGAGCAAGACCGATGACTCCTGACATCCAGTGCTATCAAACTGCACGCCCAGCCCTGGCCGGTGTGGCTCAATGGATAGAGCATCGGCCTGCAGACTGAAGGGTCCCAGGTTCAGTGCCGGCCAAGGGCACGTGCCCGGGTTGCGGGCTAGATCCCCAGTGTGGGGCGTGCAGGAGGCAGCCGATCCATGATTCTCTCTCATCATGGATGTTTCTGTCTCTCCCTCTCCCTTCCTCTCTGAAATCAATAAAAGAAATATATATATTTTTAAAAGAAAGCTATGCCAGAGTGTGTCTTACCATCTAATACCAAAAATGGCTTTCTTATAACAAAATAAAAACAAAAAACCGTCACGCCTAACCTTGGCCAGGAAAGTGACATGCGTATTGATGTGCGCTTCGTTTCTAAGAAGTGATGTTTTTGTCCTTGGTCTTTTCTTTATATATTTATCTCACTTGTAACTGATAGTATTTCTCTGCAAGATAACTTTTAACCAAGATGGATGCAAGAATATTTTATAGGGGAAAAATGACTTAATGGTTGTTGGATAATTAAAAAGAAAATCAACTGTGTATCCTTACTGCACATATTTATAATAAACCGAAATGGTATTTAAAACATACCAGTTGTTAAGAATTAAAAGTGTTACTAGATGGGTAGTAGCTTTTGTGTTAACTTTGTGGTAAACAAGTAAACGTTTTTAATTATATATTTTTTTAAAATTTGTTTTTATTGATGTCAGAGAGGAAGGGAGAGGGATAGAGAGAGAGAAACATCCATGATGAGAGAGAATCATGGATCGGCCTCCTCCTGCACGCCCCCTACTGGGGATCAAGCCCACAACCCGGGCATGTGCCCTTGACCGGGAATCGAACCATGACCTCCTGGCTCATAGGTCGATGCTAACCACTGAACAACACAAGCTGGGCTTAATTATATTTTTTTGTAAAAATACTTTTAAGATCCAAAAGTTCTATGAAGAAGTCTCTTGGCCTCAAATTACCCAATTTACTATAAGTTAATCTTTAATTTTATACTTGAATACTGGTGGCTAATCTTTTCAAGAGAAGTACCTTTTTTTTTTTAATATATTTATTGATTTTTTTACAGAGAGGAAGGGAGAGGGATAGAGAGGCAGAAACATTGATGAGAGAGAAACATTGATCAGCTGCCTCCTGCACGCTCCCCACTGGGGATGTGCCCGCAACCAAGGTACATGCCCTTGAGCGGAATCGAACCGGGGACCCTTCAGTCCGCAGGCCGACGCTCTATCCACTGAGCCAAACCGGTTCTGGCAAGAGATGTACCTTTTTTTAAAAATTAAGTTATGTGAAAAATTGAGAACTCCTTAGGAATATGAATTATTTTGTAATGTAACTTTAATGATTGAGCTGCTGCCTTTATTTGGGAGGTATTTTTTGCAGAAATGCAATACATTACTTCATGTCAGTTATACTTTAAAATCTAAAACTAGCAAATAACGTTTAGTAGAATTTCTCAGAATTATACACTCCTACACACACAACTTTAAAAATTGGCGATGAACACGTTCAAGCTCCAATTCATGCTTCATATTTATTGTAAAATAATGTTGTGTTCTTTAAAAAGCAGTCCAAGTTGACCTTGTTCAAGGTACCACATCGTTTTATTATTTTAATTATGTGTGTGTGTGTGTGTGTGTGTGTGTATATATATATATATATATTATAAATTTCAGAGAGAAAAGGAGAAGGAGAGAGAGAGAGATAAACATCAGTGATGAGAGAGCATCATTGATCGGCTGCCTCCTGCGCTCCCCCTTTTAGGGATCGATCCTGCAACTGAGGTACGTTCCCTTGACCGGAATCGAACCCGGTACCCTTCAGTCCGCAGGCTGACACTCTATCCACTGAGCCAGACCAGCTAGGGTGAAGGTGCCTCATCATTTTCGAGGTGTTGACATGATCTAAGAAGTGAATGTAGAGGGAAGGTAAAGGAAAACGTTTTGTTTCTCTGCTTAGAAATAATGAGAGTAATTAGAAAATTATTTTAAAATATAAAATATTTACTTAGTGGCAAACTGAGGCCTGTTGAAACCTGAACTCGTTGGTCATATGGATCCTCTTGGCATAACTCAGGCTTGTAATACTTACCCTCCTCCCAGCACAGCATTACTCGAGTCATATTTTGAATCAAAATGGCCGTTTCCACTCCTTTGTCCTATTTTATTGTTTAAATCAGCTTTATCGAGGTAAATTTGCATATAATAAAATTTACTTTCTTATTTTTTAAAAAATGTTTTTTATTGCTTTTTAGAGACAGAGGAAGCAAGAGCAATGGAGAGAGAGAAACATCAATTAGGGAGAAACATCATGGATCAGCTGCCTCTTGTGCGCCCCCTACTGGGCATGTGCCCTTGACTGGGAATCGAACCAGGGACCTCTCGGTTCCTGGGTCAGTGCTCAACCACGGAGCCACGCCAGCCGGGCAGAACTGACCACTTTTAAACGTGCCGTCTTGGTTGTGACCAGCCCAGCACCGTGACCACCAGGGACATGGCCCTCACCCCAGAGTGTCCTGTGTCCCTCGCGCGGACCCTGCACCCCCGATCTGCTCTCTGTCATGGTTGCCTTGTGGCATTTCCTATCAGAGGATCCCACACACTGTGGCCTTCTGTCCCTGTCTTCACTCCCTTCGCATAACAAGCTGGAGACTCCCCCAGGCCCCAGCCTCAGCAGCCGCTCCTGTCGCTGTGGCCGAAGGAGAGCTCGGTGGGTGGATAGGTCACGGTTGGTGCATCACCGTTCGGTGGGCATTGGGGATGTTCCTAGTTCTTGGCCCTTTCAGGTCCGGCCACTTTGAAAAGTCGAGGACACGTCCTTGTGTGGATGTGTGTACAGTACCTAGGGGAGGGGCCTTCGCTCTGATGTAAATGGAAGGCTTTTCTTTTCTTATTTTAAAGTCAATCTTTTTAAAAAATATTTTTATTCATTTCAAAGAGGAAGAGAGAGAGAGAGAGAGAGAGAGAGAGAGAGAGAGAGAGAGAGAGAAACATCAATGAGGAGAGAGAATCATGGATCGGCTGCCTCCTGCACGCCCCCTATTGGGGGTAGCGGGTGGAGATCGAGCCCGCAACCCGGGCCTGAGCCCTTGGCCCAAATCCAACCCGGGACCCTTTAGTCTGCAGGCCAGCACTCTATCCACTGAGCCAAACCGGCTAGGGTGGCTTTTCTTCTTTAAAAAAAAATATATTTTTTTATTGATCTCAGAGAGGAAGGGGGAGTGAGAGAGAGAATCATGGATCGGCTGCCTCCTGCATGTCCCCCCTGGGGACCGGGCCGGCAACCCGGGCATGTGCCCTGACAGAATCAAACCGTGACCTCCTGCTTCATAGGTGGACGCTCAACCCTGAGCCACCCCGGCTGGGCTGTCTCTGCTTCTTAATAGAAAAGTCTCGCATGTTCTTTCATTCATATCCTCTCTGTTTTGCTCCTTTCTTTCATGGGTTTCTGCCACTGGAAGGTGTGGGTGTACCCGTTGGTGTGTTGGCCGCTGGGTGGAGACATCCGGTGCCTGTAGTGAATGGGAGCTTCCTCGGCCTCTTACTGGCGTCACTGAGCTTTGTCTTACTGTCTTCCTTCTGTGAGTGATCACTCGTTCTGCTTTGCTCCTGGGCGGAACCAGAACTTAACTTGGAGTTCTTAGCAGGGGACACACCCCTGCTGTGTCCCCATGGCGGCCAGCGTGTCCGGTTAGAGAAGTCGGTCTCTTCAGCGGCAGCGCGGTTTGCGGAAGTCGAGGAAGTGACAAGGTTGGGAGGAGGTGGACATGGACGTGACTCAGGTCCACTGAGTCCCACCCGCATTGACCCCGCACGGGTGTTTGAAACAAGCACCGCTTCTTATACTTCACTGCTGTTGGGTGTGAGGAGATCTTAGGAATTCTGGCTCCCTTGTTAGGTATGCAGATCCTTAGAATGTCAGGGTCAGCCCTGGCCAGTGTGGCTCAGCGGATAGAGCGTCGGCCTGCGGACTCAAGGGTCCCGGGTTCGATTCGGGTCAAGGGCATGGACCTTGGTTGCAGGCACATCCCCAGTAGGGAGTGTGCAGGAGACAGCTGATGGATGTTTCTCTCCC